ATATCATACATGTATTGACTATATATTTAATAAAGATATTGGTTGGATTGGGGTGAAATCATTGTGCAGTATTTGAGATTTATTTATTGGAGCAAATTCGGAACAAAATATCCAGTGAAAGATTTTTGAAGAAAAATGACGATGACATATTTATTACTGGAAAAGGAAGTTTATATGGTGGGGAAAACCGCCATAATGATGATTAAAAATATCTTTAACCATTAAAATTCCTTCTAACACTTAGTAACAATATAAAATAGATATGAAAAATAAGATTTTGATACCCATTGTTTTATGTATGACTTTGGGTAACTTATTATAATAATTTAATAGAATGAATATTTAAACAAATAAAATAATTTTTAAATTATAATATCATTACTCGACAGAGATAATAACGATATGAATGAATAGTGTCGACCTTTCATTGTTTGGAAACTTCAAATTATTTATTGTTTATTTATTTTAATAAACACACTAACTTACAATTTTACAGATATATTAATTTTCTAAATCTATGAACTATTTTTTACATTAATTTTCAAAACTTATAATTATAAACTTAAAATTATCTATTATTTATTTATTTTAATAAACAGACAAACAAACATACATAGATACAAATTTAAAACTAATTTAAGCAAAATAGAACATTTGTTTTCAACTTGTAACGATAAAAAAGAGACTTGGAGGAGGGAGAAATATTAAACTTTGTCTATTTAAAAGGATGAAAAAAAATTATTTATTTAAAATTTATAATTTAATATATTAATATATTTAAACAAAGATTACTATTAACTCATCAAATATTTTAAAAATACTCTAAAACATTATTTTTATGACAATAATTTTCAACGCAATATTAGTATAAGAAAGTTTGGCATAGTCAATCAATAAAAAAGTATTTTTCGTTTTGTGTGTGATAATTATATGGTTCTTTATTTTCTGGTTTCATAAAATACATAGTCAATCTAGAAGTCTTTTGCTCACGGTTGCTTCTTGGTATGAGGGGTCTTACTTTCTCTATATATCAGTCTCTGTATCTCAATCCTAGAAGAAATAATGGCTACAGTGTCTTCAAAAAAATCACGAGAATAGGTTGAAAAGAACATTTCTTACATTATTTCTAGTTCTTTAAGTGTTTCTTGATATCTTAAATTTAAGATATTTCAATAACATTTTCTACAGAGGGAATTTTAGATTCAACTTAATATTAATGTAGAATAGACTTAACAAAGTCAAATTTATACTCCTCTATGTATACTATACAATTTATTCATATTTTCGATTTATATCACAAAACATATTTCTTACTTCTAAATTAACTAAATAATTAAATAATATCACCTGTGAATAACGACGAGTGCATAAAACAGAAAAAGTCAAACCAAGATAAAAGTGAGAGTCGTGTTTTAAACTATTCCATGTGAGACATGTTTGTAGAAAGGAATAATTACTAACAGTGTGATACGAACTCATACTGCGTCTATATGAACGTCAATACAATAAATAAATAATGTTTTACTTTCCTTTATATATATATATATATATGGTCACTTGTCCTCATAATTCAAAAGATTCCTAGGAAAAATTGTCAAGATCAATCAGTTATGGAGGTTGTAACTGATATATTTGAAAATGCATATTTCTTTTGTTTCTTAAAACTTTTATTCTGTACTAAAAAAATTAAAAATATATAAATTTTTAATATGATTATATAAATTTCTAATATGTTTATATAAATTTTAATAAAACAAAATCTTATCTAATGCCTTTAAACTACTAGTTTATTAGCAAAATGTTTGTTAAAATTTTGTATTTTATAGGGAAAACCTTTTTTGTATAAACAGACGACTTCATGGGAATCACTATAATTAATGACGACACTTTGTCAACTATCTATAATTTGTAAACTCAAAAACCTATAAATAGTAGTCCTCAGTTTGTTTCTAAATATTCTCTCCAATAAAGGAGAGAGACATATTCCGCCAAACAACCTCTTGGACATTAGTTAAAGGTAGCAAATTTACATGGACAGCTATTACCTTCCCTCTTATACAAATTAATGCTCACATTTAAGATTTTCTCAATATATGTAAATATAAAATTAAATATTAATATAATTATTAAATAATATAAAGCATTAATTAAATACATACATATTCTCTAAGCATCAATCAAATATACAAAGCATTAAATAAATATTGTTGGTTAGATCAAAGTGATGATGAATACTTTTAAAATAATTAAAAAAAAATAGTTCGTAAAATTTAAAAGAAAATGGAAAATGGTCATTTTATAGTGAGTGTTGCATGTTATCCTCAATTCTTTTGTAAATTAATACAATTTTATAATAATTTTAAAAAATAAATTATTTGGATTAGTTAATCATCTTGTGTCCCTATAAACTTTGTAATGTATGTTTTTGGATTAGGTATACGTTATTTGTGCATTGATTTTGATATTATCTCTTTTAATGATAAGTATTTTGGCAACAACGTTTGTTTTATTTGTATTGGTAAATATATTTTTGTACGTTAGAATATATAAATTTTACTTTAAAATAACATATAATATAATATATTAAATTAAAGTTAAATTAGCCAATATGAAAAGCATATGTGCTTAAAGTCCAATCCGTGAGAAGCGTGTGCTTGTTATTTTGCCCTTTGGTGGTTGCAGATTTTGATTATAAAAGGCATGCACCAGTATGCTTCCCTTCGCATCTATCACTGTTTCATTCTCCATTTTTTTCATCTAAAGCTTTTCTTTCTCTTCTCCTTTTTCAATCCCACGTCTCTACAAAGTTCGTACCAGCTTTTACGAGGTACTCATGTTTCTCATTCCATTACCTCACTTTCTAATGAATGTTCAAAGTGAATACCGATTCACAATCACATCTTTCCATTCCATTTTTACCTTCGCCAATTTCTCTGTTTTTTTCAAATCTATCACTGGGTAGCGCATCCTTTTCTTTACCAGGATGGAAAGAAGAAAGAAAATTTGAGAAAAACCAAGGAATGTGAATCATGTTGCTATTGTAATTTCTAAGATCACATTCATACACATTCTAGATCATTAACATTATGTCAATCTGGGACTCAAGACCTAAAGTATAATCATCGTGTTATTCTATCTCTGGACAAAAATATGATAATTTTGAATTTTAATTCTTATTTATAACTGTAGTTCCCTTTTTTTTTGTGAATTTTAACTTTTATGTTTAAAAGTCTTTAATTTTGATCAGATATTTAGTTTTACATGTGATCTTTGAAACATATAACTTTCTAAGTGCGAGAGTGTGTATGTGTATGTAATAAATTTTATCATATATTATAATGATGGTTACTGTAATATATTCTGACATGACATCAGCTGGATTGGTTTTATACAGGTTTTTGTGTGGAGCCTTGCATCAGCTGACACTACTTGAAAGGAGAAACCTGTGATCGCAGCCATGTCTCCCCCCTCAGGGAACATCAATAACGGTTCTGAAAGGTATTGAACGATTAATTGCCTAATTTTTAATGAGTAAGACAATGATATACGAACTTGGTTCAATCATGTTTTTATGGTACAATACTTTAATATTGGTGATTTTGAATGTGAGGTTTGGTCACCCTGCTTTTGTATCAGTGCTGCTGAGGTTAATTGGGATGAACTTGGATTTAATTTAGTTACCACAGATTACATGTATGTCATGAAATGTGCAAAAGGAGATAAGTTTTCAGAAGGATCACTGCTTCCTTATGGTAACATTGAGATCAGCCCTTCTTCTGGGATATTAAATTATGGACAGGTTCTTATGCCACACAGCAGTGCTTAATGATTTATTAGATTTTATCAATAATAAGCATTGTGCAAAGAACTTGAAGCTAAGCCTCACAAATATGCAAACTTTGTGAATCTTCAGGGAATCTTTGAGGGGCTTAAGGCACACAGAACTGAAGATGGGCGTATACTTTTATTTCGACCAGATGAGAATGGTCTACGCATGAAGAGAGGGGCAGATAGAATGTGTATGCCATCCCCATCTGTTGACCAGTTTGTCAATGCTGTAAAGCAGACAGTTCTTGCCAACAAACGATGGGTATTCATTATTTTCTTCATCCTATTAATCTCTATGTTCTATGAAGCTGTTGAAAAACAAATTAAGCTTCAAATTGAAACAGGTGCCTCCTGTAGGAAAAGGGTCACTATATCTTAGGCCCTTGCTCATTGGAACAGGACCACTGTTAGGTTTGGCACCAGCTCCTGAGTATACTTTCCTTATTTACTGTTCTCCAGTTGGCAGTTACCACAAGGTCACCTTTGGATTTCCACATGTTTTACAATACAAGGAGAAAATTCTACTTACAACTTGTTGAAATTTCATATTCGAGAATATTTTCTTCTTGATTAATTAATGCAGGGTGCACTGAACTTAAAAGTGGAGGATAAACTATATCGAGCAATATCTGGGAGTGGTGGAACTGGAGGGATCAAAAGTGTCACCAATTATGCCCCTGTAAGCATGCACTACCGATACATCTATAAAACATGAAAAATGATACTTTTTCACACATAAATTTTTTATACTTATTTGACACTGTCTTTTCTTACCTATCTGTTCTGAATGGTTGATAATTTTACTTATCCCGAAATGAGAAGAAATCAAGTTAGAGGAAAAAGAACGTTAATCAAAACTTTGTTCCTGAATTTTATCGTTCTGTAAACTTTATTTAACAAGTTCCCTGATTTATATGTCTTGATGAAAGTAATACAAATACAACAAAAAGCACGGTTATACTTAGACTGCTAAGTCAAATAATAGATCATACTAAAAGTTACCTCAGATTATAATTATGCTCTTGATAAAGTATATTATCCATATATGTTTTTGTGCCATAGGTTTATACTGCAATAACTGATGCAAAGGCCAATGGATTCTCCGATGTGTTGTTCTTGGACTCAGCAACAGGAAAATATATAGAGGAGGCATCATCATGCAACGTATTTGTTGTGAAGGTCTGAACATTATCTATTTGGGCATGCTATTAACAATTTATATATCCAAACAATGCGATAGTCTGAACAAAATTTGTTTAATTTAATCATATGAAGGGCAACACTGTCTCCACTCCTTCATTAGATGGAACCATCCTGCCTGGTATCACACGAAAATCCATCATTGAACTTGCCATTGATTTGGGTTATCAGGTATTAATTCATTTTCGTTCAATTATTCGAACGTATATTGATTAATCTTAATGGTTTCATTTTCTGCAAATTAACTTGCTTCTAGAAAATATACCTATTATGTTGGAGAATCTACCTTACCTATATTTCTACAAAGAAAAATGTTCTCAATATTGTATGCTTAGTTACTTACAGAGGGGGGCTTTGAATTATGTTCAGGTAATGGAACGTGCCGTATCAGTGGAGGAAATGCTAGTTGCAGACGAAATGTTCTGCACAGGAACTGCAGTGGTTGTTAACTCTGTTGCATCTATCAGCTATAAGGAAACAACGTAAAAATTTCACTTCAATTATTCTATTTCTTTTGTTTCCAATATATTACGTCAATTCAGATAATATGTACTCATTTTTTACACTTTTATATAGGATAAAATTATTTATTTTGTAATGATTATTTTCAAACTTAATCTTATTCATTAATATGATGATTTTTCAGTAGATGTCAACTATAAAAGTATAAAACTCAATTTTTTATACTAATAAGTATCATAATTCAACTATTTATTTAAAATATATTTTCTCTTATGTCTTTACCATTGACCAAATGCAGGAGGGATTACAAAACAGGGCCAGAAACATTGTCTGCAAAATTACGCAAAACACTGGTTGGAATTCAAACAGGGTGTCTTGAAGATACAAAGTCATGGACAGTCACAATCTCTTAAATGAAGATAACTTCTGTTTCATCCTAACAAGTTATTATTTGAAAGTCATTTTTTTAGTTTATTAATGTAATAAAGGTTTCTAGTTCTCTTATTGTAATAAAGGTTTGAAGTTCATCAACTGTGAAATTCTATTGTGCATTTTTTTCTCTCACATTTATTTGTTCCTTATTAGTTGTTATTAATAAATGAATACATTTTAGTTGTTTATGTTTCAACTGAAGGAATGGTGAATGGGTTAAAATGAAATGGAATGGACTGAAATGTAATATAATAAAACATTATCATTGTTTATAAATATCATATAATAAAATGAAGCATAAAGAATCCATCTCTATTCTTTTAAACTTGAGTAAAAGAAAGCAAATTTAAAAACTGGAGTAAAAGAAATCAAATAGAGGTAAAATTCACTGGTTCATATTATATTTCATTTTTATTTTACCAATTCAAATAACAAAAGTGAACCGAGCAAAAGCAAAAAAGAAACTAAAAAATTAAAGTGAAGTGACAAGGAATGCAATAAAACAATAGAACTTTGTTTCGATAGTGAAATAACATCGTTAGGGTTAATCATTTCTTATTCAAGATGTTGTCCACTTTGGAGTTTGTACTTCATTACAGTTTTGTCCTTAAAAGACATCTCAGAGGCTTGAAGGAGGAAAGAGTATTTAAACTCTCTTTGGTCTCGATTCCTAAGCGATGTGAGACTATTAGGTGTGATAGGAACATAAGCCCTTCAATCAAGGTTTTAGGGGAATGATTGTTCAGTCTCAATGGAAGGCTTAAGGGATTGATGGTTCATCTTGGAACCTCATTATCAATCCCACTATGGGCGTATAATGTTCATACATGAGAGCGAAATTTTCTTTCTACATCATGTGCTCAACGTCAGACTACAAAATAGCCAACGTAAAAATTTATCCGGTGGCATTGTTGTAAATGAAATCACCTCTTAGACGTTGGCTATCTCCTCCACCAATGTCATATTCCCTTCAACGTCAGCTTTCTCTACCCACTGACATTATATCCTATGCATAACTATGTTGGAATTATTAAAAATTGAACCGAAAAAACGTTTGGCTACTAAAGTACCATTTTAAACGTTGAGGGCGAGTAGGCCGACGTCTAAATGTGTTTAATTTAGTAAAATATTGAGTGTGAAAGTGAAAATCTAAACCCATTAAACGTCATATGCCCAAAAAATAGACATCTAATGGGTATAAGACATAGGACAACATTTGTGTCGATGTCATATGGACTGAAAAAGTTAAAAAAGCAATATTAGCCATATTGTTTCTTCATGCTCTATCTTCCAGGTGAACTAAGAGCTTTGTTAACAAGTGTGAGGAAGAACAAAGGTTGATTGTGGGTCATTTACCTCAAATGTATGTGTTTTCGATGTCTTGGTTTGAATTTTATTTTAGTTTTAATCAATTGATTTCGTGTTTTCATGCAGTGATGTTTTGAAGGAGAGTTGAAGCTTCCCCACTTCCAACAGTGGCGGCAAGGAGCTTGACACTAACCATCGGTGGCTATGATGAGTCTGCCACTCTCCATTGTTGGCAACGACTCCACTCCACTCTCTAATTGCGACAACGATCTTCGACCCTCCAACAAGGTTAGTTTCTTGGTTTACATATACATTGCAATGTACTAATTGGTTATTGGATATGGATTTTTAGTTTTCCTATTGTACTTTGTGTCTTGTTTCTTGTATGTGTCATTGGTTATGTTTGTCTTCTTCATTATTGTTTTTATGTTGGAAAATTTTTTTAGTTTGATTTTTGGCATTTTACTTTTTTATTAAATTTTTAAAATATTTGAGGTATGAAATGATAGTTAAACACTAAGTGAAACTTAGTTCTCGATTAAGATTTAACACAAATAATTAAATTTTTAATCGTTTGTATTAAATCTTAAATTGTCTTATTGGACAATTTAAAAGAGTTATTTTTCATAATTTGCTATGATGAGTACGCTGAAGTTTATAGATAAATTTGAAAAAAAATTGGTTGAGATCATTTTGTATTATTCTTTTGATGCATACTTGATTGTCAATTGACACCGGCCTTTAACATAACCGACAATTTTCCCCTCCATTTTTCATTCATAGAAATTTGCATCTTGTAGTGCAGGTCGTGTCGCTTAGTGCATTAATGACAACCAAAATGGGTTCGGCGTCCAGGTGCACTAAGCGGCATAACCTATACCGCTAAGTGCATATGAACGCAGGGTCCTCTTTTGGCCATCATTAATGATTGTCAATTTGGCTGAGGGTCGACGTCATTTGACATCGCTTTTTAGTCCGACATCAAATTGACGTCTTCGACTAAGACATCAGAGTTTGGATTGACGTCAAAGGTTGAAAATAATGGATGTCGAAATTCATTTTTGTAATAGTGATACTGGGTTCGGATTCTAAATTTGACAAGACCCGTGGTAGAATCCTGAAGGCTTGTTTATCATGCAGGTTGGTCTAAATATGGGAAGATTCATTTGCAAAAGACTCCCTAATGCTTAAGTAAGAGTTTCTTGGATTTGTTTAATGTATGAGTGAAAGTAAGAAGAGTGATTTAGTGAATGGTATGTTCCTATTCTAGCTCCTTATATCGAATTAGGAGAATACTAATGTTATTCTTGGGCATCTTGGTAATAATAGTTAATAATCAACTCAAAGCATGGTTGCAACGTTTATATGTAATAAATGCTCATTCATTAGTAAAAACTGCTTAACTTTAGTTAAAAGTTAAAAGACTTTTTCTTGGATCGGGTATCGATATAAGTCGGGTATGTACATAAGTCCCCTAAGCTCGAAAGTTTTATCATGTGCAACAGACATTTTTCTATTGATATTCGGACCAAATTTCATCTAAGTTATTGAGAAGGAGTGACAATCTTTATTATGGTGATGATCGACTTGTTTAGTCGGATTGACTTTTATATGCAGATGGGTTGCTATCTGGCCATGCTTTGAATGACCAACTTTGATCAAAGTGACATATATTGTTTACCCTTAAGGGTTATAGTTACTGATCTTGTAGAATCGTCTAGAGTGGCCTCATTATTTTGACATTCTTTTATCTTCTCAACCTGACTCATCAACTTGGTCACCTTACCCATCTTTTCTTTCTCCAGGTCACTAAGTTTCTAAGATAATTGGACCTTACTTACCTGAAGTGAAGAGTGGCTAACGTAGTGAAGGTTGAAGAAGTTCTTGCAATTGAAGTCTCTTTACAGAGTACATCTTTAGCTCTATAAGTACAAGTTATAAGAGCAACCATGCCTAGATCTTTTGGACCAAGAACTAGAGCCTTATTTGCTTAAGGAGGATGATCAACGATTTAGTGTTTTTCAAGGCGTTATTCTTGAGCAAGTAAAAGAGCTTCAATTTCTTTGACTGTGGTGAGCACAAGAGGTGATAGAAGTAACGAAGTTATTATAATCCTCGGATAAGCCATCAAAGATAGCTCAATGTGGTCCTCAAATGAAAGGGGTGCCCTAACAACTAAAAGGTTGTCTACTATTTTCTTATATCAAGAAGATAAAATGACAAGGACATCTCTTTCTTGGGAGTACAAAGTTGAACTTTAAGCTTTTTAATCTTTGCACCGTGAGACGCAAAATAAAGAAAGGAATGGGAGTTGTCATTGACACTAATAACTAGGAAACTATAAGTTGATCCTGTTGATCGAAATTGGCAAAAGCGGGATTTATAGTGCAACTGATTTAGTCTTCTAGTGCGAGAAACTTGGTTTGAATTGATATTATAAAGGAAATGATTTTATTGTAACCATGATATTAAAAGGGAAATATTTTTAAAGCATTGTTTTAAGGCTTAATATCACTTTTGGTCCCTATTTTAATCAACTTTGTTTAATGTGAGACTTACTTCTTTTTCGTGTTAAATGTGATTCCAATTTTCGTAATTTATGTTCAATTTGATCATTTTTCATGACGTTGTCTAAATCATTAACGCTAGAATAACCATGTATACTACATGTCAGTTCGTGATTTTTTTAATTTTTAAAAAAAATAATTTTTTATTAATATTTTTTCAGATTTTTCTTAATTTTAGAAAGTTGTTTACATGTCAAGTCAATATTGTGACAATGTTAGTACCATAGGTTAAGTCAGTTTTAGTGTCATATGTCAATTTAGTATATATGTCATGTGTCAAGTTAGTATCAATGCCACATGTTAATGTTAATGTCATGTGTCAATATTAGTGTCATGAGTTAGTGTCTTGTATTCTATTCAATTTCAATTTTTTTTTTATTTTTGTTCAATTTAATCCCAAATTTTGTTAATTCTTTTCAATTTAGTTCCAATTTTAAATTTTAGAAGTAAAATCTTCATTGTTTTTAAAATTAAATGAAAAATTCTTCATTCTATTTAAAATTAAAAGAATTTCATTATTTTTAAAATTAGGAGGATAATTCATCATTATTTTTAAAATTAAAATGAAAATTTTTCATTTTTCTTAATTTTAAAATTCTTCATTATTTTTAAAAGTAGAAGAAAAATTCTTCCTTATTTTTAAAATTAGAAGGAAAATTCTAATGTATTTCTAAAATTAGAAGCGAAATTCTAATTCATTTTTAAAATTAGATGAAAATTCTTTGTTATTTTTAAAAGTAGAAGAAAAATTCTTCATTATTTTTAAACCAACACTAACCCTACTTTTTACATGTAAAAAAAATCAAACATAAATCTAATGATTATATTCCAATAATATAAATAGATTTGGTTTAAAAATAATAACAGAAATATTTAATAAATATGTGAATTTTAATAAAAAATTAATTTAATCTTATTTTAGAAAGGGACAAAACTGAAACTAGATTGAGCAAAATTAAAAAAAATTGAGATTTAATTGAATAAAATTATTGAAAATGTAGACTCGATTGAATATAAGATACAAACACGTGGCATTGACACTAACTCGTGATACTAACATTGACTTGACACATGATACTGATATTGGCATATGACACAATATTGACTTGACAGATGAACAACTTTTTTTTAAATTAAGTAAAAATCTAAAATAAATAATGAAAAATTTTAAAAAAAATCATGTGGACAACAAATATAGCACACACGTGGTTACATGTGACACACACGGTTAATCTGATGAAAAAGGGTCAAATTGAACATAAATTACGAAAATTAGAATCACATTGACTACTCGAAAAAAATGAGTCTCACATTGAACAAAGTAGACGAAAATAGGGATTAAAAGTGGTATCAAGCCATTATGTTTATTAAGAAACCAATTTACCTCCTTTTTTTGTCCAAATGCAAATATTTTGTTCTACAATGATCCTATGAACTTACACTACAATGGAATGAAACGTTAATATATACACGCATAATCTATAATAGAAAAGATAGTTAGATTAATTTATGTAAGAAGGGTTGTCAAAACATTCTATCTCTCCATGATTTTGTTAGATTGTTGCTCTGCTAAAAAAAAAGTGTGGCAAATTGATATACTTTGAAAATTTTAGTCCATCTTTTACATGGTATTTGGTTTAGTGGACCTATTATACAGGTAGATAGAATTTGATAAGAAAAACATGTTGATAAAAGAACTAAATTTGTTTATGTTTTTTTCAAACAATTTGAGTAGATTTGTGAACGCAAAAATGAGAGAAAGCAAATGTCGATTCTCGCAGCTATGAAGAGAGAAGGCAAGAAAGACAAGTTAGCAAATGCCGATTCTCGCAGCTATGAAGAGAGAAGGCAAGAAAGACAAGTTAGCAAATGTGACATTACACAATTTCCCTCCATTTTCATCAACTTTTGCTACTCTCTTTTCACCTCTACACCATGCAAGAAATTATGCCATGCACTAGACACACAGAGTAAAGATTCATTCACTTTTAAATAAAGAGATAGATGAAGTTTTAGAAATCTCAATTAAAAAACCATAACAAAGGTGGTTAAATAGTTACATTTATCTTCATAGTACAGTTCTTATTGTCATTCATTTGTGAAAAAATTACTTCTACCTACAATATGTAAAGTTGGTGTTGTGTTCACACTCATGGAATGTGATTTCATAAGGTAACCATGACTAGTGCTGATTTTGATGTACAAGAGAATTTATTTTAACATAAATATCAATAAGTTTGTTATTTTTTTATTTTATATATATATATATATATATATATATATATATAACCATTGTGTATTATGAGTTGTTCATTATACATAAAATTTAATCTTTTAGACTATTTTTAATTTTAAGTTTTAGTTTAATAAAGTGCCTAGATCATTTCATCACATTCTTTACAAAGTAGATAAAATGAGTTACAAATTAAAATTATTAATTTGAATCATCAACTTATATCAATTGTTGTGTAAAAAGAGATAAAGATTTAGAGTTGGATTTATTGAGTTAAATATAAAAAAGAAAAAGAAAAAGTCTATATAATTAGACAAGATTTTTTTTTATCATAGAAGGTTTTATTCCAACATCACTGAAAACTTAAAGAGAAAGTATACAACTTTTTTATTATTTAAAAAATAGCAAAAAAAAATTATGATACCTTGCATTTTCTTTCCTTGCTTGTATTTTTCCTCAAAAAGGAATAGAAGATAGAAAGCAAAACTCAACCAAATTAGGAAAGATTATACGAATAAATCTAAAATTGCGCCGTCTGTGGGGATCGAACCCACGACCACGTGGTTAAAAGCCACGCGCTCTACCACTGAGCTAAGACGGCTCATGTTATAAGGTCTTCTCAAGAAGCTATTTATTAAATGTTATAAACTTAATTGCTTTTTCTTTCTTTGCTTGAGCCATTATCATCTTAATCTGTATTCATATCGTTGGCATTTTAAGGTTAATTTCAATTTTCATCTTTAAAGACTATAATTATTCATTTTAAGTTATACTAATTTTATCATTACTTTTTTATATAATAACGAGTGGCATTTGAAAGTGTTGGTAATTTCTTTCAATGAATTTTGTGGTGTGTCCTATAAAAAGGTTATGTGACACTTATATATTAATTCGAGTTTTTAATGAATAATTCTATAGTTTCTAAAATATTAAACTATCTTTTGTAACATTTTTATTTCGTAGAAATTATATGTATTTTTCATGTTGAATCTAATACTGTTATTATAATATATATACTAATGTTAGACGTCTCACTTATAAGTTGGTTTTATTTTAAAATTTTAATATATATTTTTATCTAAAAATATTAAGTGTGGAAATAGAGCGAATTTGATATACATTGTCCGATAAACTCAAATCCCAATTAAAATATATTTTATTAATCGTATAAAATACTATCGCATTTTATAAATTTAAATATTTCTTATTAACAAATTTGTTTTTATTGAATGTTTAATATGTTTTTTATTTTCATTTAAGTATTTTATTGTTTAATTATTTTTATCAATACGATGACCTAACTAGTATCTTATGTCTTTTTATGTAATTCTTTGATTGATTTGTATTAAAATTTTCAATTTACTCCAACTCATAAATCAATTTATTGTAAGGGAAATAAACAAATTGACTGATAAGTTAAAAAAAGAATGAAAATATAACAAATTATTCTATAAGTTGAAAATAAAAATTAAATATGTAGTTTGCCCTCAAAATCAAACAAGAAATGGTCAAAATAAATTTATTTAAAATAATTGAATAAAACTAAGTCAAACTTGTAAAACTTAACCAATTAAAAAAGAGGGTAAGTGTTGAAACTGAATGAAGTTTGAGTAGGTGGATAATGTAGCCGTTGGCGGCCGGACAAATATATATTCTTTTATCCCAAAGGAACCTACAAAGTCACCAACTTTTCTTTTTCATCATAAAAAGGTCAATGTATTTTAAATATATATATATATATATATATGTATATATATATATATGTATATATATATATATGTATATATATATATATATATATATGTATTTATGAAGGGTTAAGATAAATTTATATATGTTGAAAAAGAGGGTAAGTGTTGAAATATCTTTGTATTATCCTTTAAATAACTATTATTTTAAATTAAAATAATTTTATTCTTTTATTCTTTTATTCTTTTAATGTTATCTTTTTAATTAATATAATTACCTACAGTAAAGAAAACACATCTGACACGTGTTCTGACTAGTTTTATTAGTATGGTTTAAGCACAAAATTTTCAGGAAAGAAAAGTAATTGCGGAAACAAAATCTAATGGAGAAGTTTGATACGTATCATGTCAAACGAAGAGGATTTGTGGCATTTTAATATCAAAATAATTTCGAAAACAAAAACTAGTGAAGTCTTCTACGTCAAACAAAATTAAATGGGGATATTGATGTAAATATATTAATTTTTCGAAAATTGGAGAAGTTATTGCATGCTATATATATATCATTGGAGACACAACTTCATTGCTTGCATCAACTTTTGCTCTCTGCTTTGCAGGAAAACCCCAGTTCCCAACCATGACTCTCCATTCTGTTTCAGGGAACTGTGAACGAAATTCAGAAAGGTACAATATCACATCAAATTTTCCATCAATTCAAACATGGTATTTTTCTTTTCTGTTTTTTATGATAATATTCCTCATTCTAACTCCTTAACTTTGTGTCTGAAAAAGCGTTGTTGATGTTGAAAACTGCACTGACATAAACTGGGATGAGCTTGGATTCAATCCAGTTCCGACAGATTTCATGTATGTCATGAAATGTGCAAAAGGAGACAACTTTGCTGAAGGATCCCTCGTTCCCTTTGGAAACATAGAGATCAACCCTTTTGCCACGATATTTAATTATGGACAGGTTAAAACAACACTGTTCCTGCTTCAATTCATCAGCTTCTATCTATCATACAATGTTTGCACAATCCACATTAAGCATGTTCTGATCAAATTCTAGCTCAAGCCTCACAAATTACTGTAACTTTTCTTCAGGGAATCTTTGAGGGGCTTAAGGCATATAGAACTGAAGATGGGCACATAGTGCTGTTTAGACCAGAACAGAATGCCCAACGAATGAAGATAGGGGCAGACAGATTTTGCATGCCATCCCCATCCATTGATCAGTTCATTAACGCTGTAAAACAGACAGCTCTTGCCAACAAACGTTGGGTACTAATTTCTTCCTATTTATCTCCAGAGTTTAATAATGGTGACTAATCTGAAACAAGGTTTGAACCTTAATATAGTACATAAACTATTTACCTTTTCACTACTACTGCATAGAATACTTAACCAGTATAAAAATCTTCTATCTTTTTTTTTTTTGTCTTTTCCCTGTAAGAAGTTGAAAAATAAGTTGAACTGATCTTCAAATATGAAACAGGTGCCTCCACTAGGGAAAGGATCATTGTATATTAGGCCATTGCTCATGGGAACAGGAGCTTCTTTAAGCGTTGTTCCTGCACCAGAGTACACGCTACTTGTTTATTGTTCTCCTGTCACTAACTACCACAAGGTCTGTTACAAAGAATCGATTTTATTATAGAGAAAATATTTAATGAAATTTCATATCAAGACTAAATTTCAATTTTATGACAGGGTGCACTGAACTTGAAAGTGGAGAGTAAGTTCTATCGAGCAATATCTGGCACTGGTGGAACCGGAGGGATCAAGAGTGTTACCAACTATGCCCCTGTAAGCATATCAATGCCATTGTACCACTTTTCTCTAATTTTGCACTGTAGAATTTCATCATTCTGGAAAGTTTATTGAATAGTTCAATTTTAGTGAAAGCTGGTCCATTTTGCTTATATATGCTGCTGGTAATACAAGAAATTGATGTACAGTTAGTCAGACAAAATCATAAGGCATATTATAATCCCTTAAACGAATTTCGCTCTTCATTGACTGTGTATATATGCATTGTAGGTTTATGCTGCAACCACTGCAGCGAGGGCTGATGGATTCTCTGATGTCTTGTTCTTGGACTCAGCAACTGGAAAAAACATAGAAGAGGTTTCTGCATGCAATGTGTTTGTTGTGAAGGTAAACCAACAACCTTACTTTAGTATTCCAGAATAGATTGTTATCAAGACACGTTATAGAATGAACAACAAAATATTATTGAAGAAAACAACATAATAAGATAACCCAATTTGATCTTTATTTGTACTTCACATTTTCCTTTTATGTTGTGAAGGGTAATAGTATCTGCACTCCGGAAACAAATGGAGCCATTCTGCCTGGGATCACACGAAAATCCATCATTGAAATTGCCTTAGATTTGGGGTATCAGGTATTAATTTGTCGTAAGCTTTGAAATGCACCCTATTAATGATTTCGCAATATTTGTTCGGTTACTAAGAATACGAATACTTGAATTATGTTTCAGGTCATGGAACGTGCCATATCATTGGAGGAGATGCTAGATGCTGATGAAGTGTTCTGCACAGGAACTGCAGTTGTTGTCAACTCTGTTTCATCTGTAACCTTCAAGGAAACAAGGTAAACTGTGTCCATGCTGATCATTAATTAATGCTCACTCTATTAAAATTTTATTTGTTATATGTACGTGTGAGATGAAAAACATTGTTAAAAGAAAGTTCGATTTTTCAGTAGGAATTTGGTTATTGGTCCGTTATCTTTCCTAATATTCTTGAAAATTCCCAACAACTAATGATTGTTGTACTAACAAATTGCTGATAATACTGATACTGCAGAGCTGAATACAAAACAGGAGCAGAATCATTGTCCCAAAAACTGCGGAAAATACTAGTTGGAATTCAAACTGGGTCTATTGAAGACTCAAGGGGCTGGACAGTTCGAATAGATTGATCGATTTGCACAACTTGCCCTATGGCTTGACTCGGATTTTTAGCTATGCGGATATGCACGAAACGTGCCTCACTTCTATTTTCTTTTTTTTTTTCTTTCCTTTTCCCCTCCCAATACGATGATGACTCGGATGTATTATTGGGAGAGGAAAATATTTTGAAAATAAATGAAAAGAATAACTATTTTGCACAATATAATAAAAATAAAAAGAACTTCATCATACTTCATCTTTTTGATAGGTTTCTAATAACTTAATATTCCAACTACTGGTATTAGTTTTGCTCGCCTTAGTTGCACGTCAATTTGCCAGGAAATCACAATACTCTTTTTTTTTGGTACATTTAGACTTTGAAGTGTGTATAATCTTAAATCTTAAATGTCGCCTTTCTAGCTTTTTAGAAGCATTCGTTAACGCTGACGACATTCTAATGCGATTGAGTAGACAAAAAAATTGAAGGCCTGATTCGACAGTGTATTTATTTATCTCATCGATCCTCAAAAATAACTTTTGGTTACACATGAGAAAAGAAAAAATGCAATATACTAATGAGAAAAGCATGCCAGCTAACGAAAGATGAAGAAGTTAAAGACAATCGTTATGAACAATGTCAGTCTCTTTTTCTAACAAATATAGATAAATAACTACTTTATCAAACTTCTACGCTTGATACTTCTTACTATTCAGAAGCTCTATGAACAAATCATTCCAGGTATCTGTAATTCCAGGTAAGCACCAGTGCATGCAATCATCATGTTTTTTCCCTCCAGCTGAAGCAGGGTGTGCATCAGCCCTGAACTCACTCATGTGAGTGATGTCCAAAATAATGAAATCAGACCCCTCGAGAGCCTTATAGAGGTGATCATTCACCAGCCTAGTCTCCACATTTGTCCCATTATTCTTCACGGAGAAAAGTTCTTCTACCTAAAAGAGCAACAAGCAACAAAACTTCCAAGGTCAACTTACTAGTAACAATTTAGCATGAAATTATCACATCACGTATGTCACTCATTGGATGACTGTTCTAGTAAAAACATGCTTAAAAAGATAATTGACTAAATGAACCACCTGCTCTATCGACAAAGGTCCATCCCTTAGACAGGAACCACCCTGATCCCAATCTCCTCCTTCAAAGTGTCTGGGTGATTGAGTACGAAAAAATTTTACTGCACCAGGCCGTGCATTTTTCTCCACATACTTTATCTGCAAACAAACCACTTTCGTATTAAATATGCTGATCAATCACATACCCACTTAAACTAGGTGTAATTTCGTAAGTGGATTGGTGAAAGTATAAGGGATCAGACTAATGTAGAAAATCTTTTAAAAGTAATCATGACAGTTTTACAACTCAATCCTGAACACTTCATCCATATATGAAACTCAGACCCATACATTGATGGGTAAAAGCATTATGGAACTAAACATACAGAGTTCAGCATGAGCAAACGCACTAAAGTCAATTACCAAGATACCACGTACGTAATTGTTTCATACTTAGGTTAACTTAGAGCCATAAATTACAGAAGTTCCTATTTCCTACTACTTCCACTACCATTATAGTGTAATAAAAAGTAAAGACATTACCATGTGCTCCAAAACCATATCCAGGCCTTGATCTGGACGTATTGGAGGGATTACCGGCTGGTCATTCTTGAAGAAAAGCATGGGGGACTTAACAGGGTCAAATTTTGAAGGGGCCCACCACCTGTTTACACAAACCAGATAAAAAAAACTAATATCCTCTCGTATACTTTTAGTTTTCCAAAGAACAGTAATAGCACCAGCTTATACAAAGGAAAGTGAGGAGCAAGCAGTAAAAAACATAAAACTCAAAAGGTATTCTTCAATTGTTGAATTACCAGCAACAACTCCGGAATCAACTCAACCCAAACAAAAGAAAATAACAACCAAGCAGATACATGAAAGACATTAACGTATACGCATTGCAAAGAAACCAGATAAAAGTCATGGGCACTGATGAAACCAGATAATAAAACTGACACAGATACAGCTTAAGCCTTGCAACCCATTGAGGAAATTCAAAAATCAAGTAAATGCACACACAAGAAGACATTCCAATGTAACAAGACAAAATCATAGGACAAAAACATACTTCTTTCCCACTCATTATTTTCAAAGATCAAATAACGAATGGGAAAGTGCTACAAATTGCAATATATGCCCCATTTACAGAAAGAGACTATAGAAACATTCTAGTATTACCAGTGTCCCGTGTTAAAAATTAAAATATCGTGGAAACTCAGAGCCTTTGCCCACGTGCTGTCTGGAACATCAACATCAACTCTATATCCCTCTTTGAATCCAAGAGTTTCTAAGGCACCACCTTTATCACTAGCGGACCAGCTGCATCAAACAGAAGAACAACATTAATAATAGTTAACAATGCTCAACAACTAGAACCATATAAGGGGAATTTATAAGTGTTTTTTCACAATTTATTTGAGTTTATCCATGAAAATGGCTTATGACATGTTCATAAGTTCATTTTAGCTTGTTTCAATAATCTCTTCATACTAACTAGCGAAGACAACTTATATATGAAAACAATTTATCTCCATTTTGTCTTCAATTAAAAAACAACTTAACAGTCTACAATGGTCTTTTGTTACGAATAATGAAAGCAATGAGGTTAGGACCCAAGATAGTGAGGACATCTCCCCTGGGCTATGAGCAAACCATTCAACCAAGTTAACAACAGAATCAACCCAAAACAACCTTAAAGCGTCATGTTTGAAGATTTTTCTCACATGCTTCTCAACTTTTCCATTTCTACCTAATGTGAAAAACTTCACATTCACATTTGCAGTCGAACACTTGACACTAATTATATAACAGGACATAATATAACATAAACAATGACATCTGAAAAAATAATAATAAACTGAAAATCCTAGAATCCGTACATAAACACTTTCACATGAAAACTGCGCAATCCATGTCCTCGTATAGAAACAGTAGATCATTTGAAACAAGACCCAGAAGAAAACAGGCGTGAAAAACAGGAGAGGAAAGAGTAATGAATGAGAAAAACGCAAGCTTACCTACCATAACGAGCGAGAAGATTGGTACGGTGATAGGCGATAGTGAGATTGTAAGCGAGGAAGGTGAATCCACGGTCAGCCCCAGCGGGGCGCCACTTCTTGACTTGTCCCTCGGAGGCACTCCTGAGAGCGCAGAAGAGAGACACAAACATGTTCCTGTTGAGCGAGTCCCCGACAAACCCTGCACTGCTGAACACCCATTATTGACAATCCCAAACAAAAGAAGAGAGAGAAAGTGAGAAGGTATACCAATGGCGGTGTGAGTGTGAGCGCGGAGGAAGTTAAGGGGATGGAATTGGGGGAGATCGCAGTGGCGGGGCTGCCAGCGCCAGGTGGGGAGAAGAGGGGCGTTGGATTTGTTGGCGGAGAGGCAGTTCCAGCCCTTGAAGATCTCCTTGCAGGTGTGATCGTAGGTTGGAATTCTGGGAGGATGAGTGATCCATTTTCCGTCGGAGAAATTGCAGGAAGCTTGGGTGTGTTTGTGGAAGGTGGGAAGAGAATGGGCAATGGAAGGGGAGGAGGTGGTTCTGAATTGGGAGAGAAGGAGGAAGATGGAAGTGAAGCAGAGAAGAGAGAGAAGAGGAAAGAGAGGAACTTTCTTCTTGGGGCTTTGCGAATAAGCTTCCCTTGTGGCCATTCCAATGCCAGATGAGCTAACCTCCTTCATCCTTCTGCATCTCGCTTTTTCTTCTTTCTTCTCTCCAACTTTTGCAGTTGTTCAATTTCCTTGCCACACTTCTTCTTTCATAATCCTGTTTTTGGCATACACTCCATACATTCTCATGAAGTGAAAGTTATATATCCACAAGACATTATTAAATTTTAGGTTTACCTAAATTTTAATTACAACATATTTTTAATTCAATTCTTCGTTAAATTTTGTTTTGTTAAGTATTTATTTGTATAAGTATTCTATCATTTAATCTTTAACTTGATAATATAGTTGTATGTTTCTTTCTTTCTTTTTTTCTTAATATTTTTTTACTTATTGATTAATTCATTTTTCTCAAATAAAAACAAATTGATCACCAAAATAAAGAATTTGAAAAAAGAAATGTTTAATAAGTTCAAAACAATATTATTGATTTTACGAAAGTGAATATATTTTGTAAAGATTTTTCAAACTCCTAGTAAAGATTCTTTACTCTTCAAACCGACATGTTTGAAGTCCACATCTCTTTAAGACACTCTGAAAGAGAGTGAGTGTCTGTAAAAAAACACTGTGTCCAATTAATAGATAGCAGTTAATGCTTTAACGATGAACGTAAATTATTTACCTTAATGGTTGTCCTAATTATAGGTTTGTGAGTCTTCACCTATATGGGTCTAGGTGGGCTCAATAGCCCATTTACCTCATGAGTCAATTGTTTGTTTCAGATTCTGCTAAGTTAGAGTAGTATTCCATTAGTGTGCAAGGTAATCAGACATATCAGCTTATGGCAGATAGTAGTGATCATACAGGCCAACTTGTGACCGGGTAGAAACAATGATGCAGATGAGCTTGTGGTCGGGTAGAAACGATTAGGTGATACCTAGCCTTCGGCAGGTAGCAACACATAACCTCAACAAACAACACATAACTCTCAGGATGTGGCACCTAGCTCTCGATAAATGTCGTGTGGTTCTAATAGATAACACTTGGTTTTGGTAGTCTAGACTTAGTTATGGACGACAAGTAAGCAACAACACCCAGGGTGTTATGGCCTAATTTGTCTAAGGACAAATGTGATTAATATTGATAAGGTCAAAGAAAATCGATCACTACAATTATTATTAACAAAATTAAATAAAATACTTTAAAAAAAGTTTTTAAAAAAGATGTTTTACTTTAATAAAAGTTTAATTGAAAACATTTAAATTTATAAAGTAATTAAAATTTAATTAAATTTAAAGTTTATAATAATTAGATTAGACCTGTACTTAGAGTCATTCCTAACGTTTAATAATGTATTTTATTTTCAACTTTTGTAGCTTCACCAAATCTATCACTTACTCTTTTCTTTTCTTTTTTACATATTTTGCAAGTGTAATTTAAAATCTCAAGCTAAATTTTATATAATTTAAAAATCTTAAACTTATTTCAAGTTTTGATGTTTATATTTTTCAAATCTAAAAAAGATAAATAACGAAGAAGAAATTGAGAGGGGA